GTAAATAAGGACCAGCACTCTGTGAACTGAATTTAAGCTGGTACTGGAAGCGGAAGACAGACTCACTGATAAAGCACATTTGTTAATAGGGCCTTTTTACCATAAGCTACAATCATTTTGAGCCAAGTAATAAAATTTACATTAATATTTATAATGCCTGACTTTGTCACTATTAGTGACTGAATGCGCTAAACCTAACACTACAGCAAGCTTCTAATGAATTCAAGTCCTCTTCGTAAGTGGTTTTGTGGGGTCACTTAAGAGTTCTCTCTTAGCTGTAGGCCATCAAATGCTGCAGTTTACCGAAAGACCATTTTGCCAATGGTCAATGATTGCACAGTTATATAACCAAATTACGAATTGCACCACACTTTTCAGAGATTAGCAGTGAATGTATGTCTTTACATGTCTGGACTGCTGAAAACCACGAATTAAAGTATAGAAATTTGTACATTTGTGTAAAAAACATGCTTGATATACCTTTTTAAATTAAGACTGAAAGCATTTATCTAAATAAATGTGCTGTTATTCTCCAATCTTTTGTTTGTTTTGTTCACAGCAGCAGTGAAAGGTAAACTATGGGTCGCCTGGATGGGAAAGTGATTGTTCTGTCCGCTGCTGCTCAGGGGATTGGACGTGCTGCAGCAATGGTAAAAACATTTCAAATCTTCTTCTTAACATCTCACTGATTTAGTGGCTTCTAAATCACAGCAGAAAATGTTTATTTAGTAGTTAAATATTGCACTTATTCAGTGCTCTTTACATTTTGATAAGTATTAAATATAGATTAACTAATATAGGATATACTGCTTAGAGTTAAAGATTTTAAGAAGTCCCGTGATGTAATTTTTCTTAATGTAATTTAAAACATGTTTCTTCCAACTTCCTTATGTATAGAAACACTTAAGCATGTCACCTAATGTCCTGTAAATGACTGCTGTAATAGTGATTCCTGAGTTAATGGAAGCAAAGGTTCAGGACCGTCCTTTAGGGATATTCTTGCCAAAGAGATAACAACACACTTGAAAATCTCACACACTGGATTGGACCATCGCTACATCTGTTCCCTCCAAGTGATCTTAAAGTGTGCAAAGGTGCCTTGTATTACAGTGAACTGGGTTTTTATTGGAGGAATTCAACCTAAAAGTTAAAAGATGCAAATGGTATAAGGGGTCTTTTGAGCAAATCCATTTGCGCTTTAAAAACCTGCCTTATTGATGGGAAGTTGAATGGGTTTCAGAAGAGTTGTGGAACTGTGGATGGATATTAACAGTCTGCTTTCAGATGCTTGATAATGAGATATTGATTGGTATTGATGATCTGAATTATTCCCTGTAGTTGGAGTGCCCTCGTCCATTCGTACAGCAATTTAGATTCCTGCTCAGTTGTGTCTGTGACTCGGTGTCCTTCTCTTTTCGGTTTTGTGTCATAATAACCAATCATCATAATTGCAAATTTTATCTTAAATTTTATAGCACAGCATGTAGAACATTGAGGAACCACTTGGAACTGAACACTGATTTTTTTTTTTTTAAACTGTAGGCATTTGCTAAGGAGGGAGCTCAGGTCACAGCCACAGACATAAATGGAGAAAAGCTGAAGGAGCTGGATGGTATTCAAGGCAAGTTTCATCTCTGCTGATCTATGACTGCCATCTTCTGGCTATTTGAGGCATTGCAAAAGGGATGCCAGTTTACTCCTATCCCTTCATTCAAGTTCTTTCACAACTTAATTATTTGATGCAAAGTTTTAAAATTTTGATTACTTTGAAATAGCTTGTACTTAGAGATAGGGTGGGAAGTTCAGTTATTCAAGAGGGGCTTAGATTAAAACCGTGGTTCCTCCACATCGAAAGGAGCCAGTTGAGATGATTCGGGTATCTGACAAGGATGCCTCCTGGGTGCACCGTGAGGGAGGTTTTCTGGGATTGTCTGACTGAGAGGAGGTTTTAGCCTATAAAGCCTAGGACCTAGGTTCTCTGCTTAGGTTACCGGCACCAGATAAGTGGAAGAAGCAATGCATGCATTCTACTAATTTCTCTCATTTTGGCCAAAGCAGCTAATTAGTATAAATGCATAACACCTGTGCTTTCCCCAGAGTGAAGTTGTTTTTTCTACAAGAGCCATTTAACGTATCTCTATTAGAGAAATTGAAATTGCACTGTGGTAATTTTAAAAAGAAAAAAAAAACAGATTATCTCATTTCTGGTGTGCATATCATATATTAGTTTTAAAAGGCTTTATATGGGTTTTAATTGTCTTTTCTTCAAGACTGTGAGAAGAGAACCATATCTCTATTTATTCTGGTCTCTGCAGTAAATGAGTTTGAATAAATAGGACATGAGCAACATTCTTCTTCTGATATCACGCCTGAGCACTTCACCCTCTTAACTGGCTTTCTGCAGAGCCATTGAGCGGTCAGTAGGAAAAGATGTATGTTGAAGAAGATAGCAGCCAGGACAGGACCATTGTTTTGCTGTGTAACTGTGAAAATGATTGATAAATGAAGCTGCTATACCTTGAATTATTTCATGCACTAAAATAAAGCCAGCTGTTATGAAGACAAAAGCAGTGCAAGTATAATCTAAACTGTCCTTGTTTTTGTTTTCGCTGTCAGGGATCAGGACCAAAGTGGTGGACGTGACCAAGAAGGACCAAGTAGAAGCCCTGGCCAAGGAACATGACCATGTAGATGTTCTGTTCAACGTTGCTGGGTACTTTTTAAATTGGTTTTTATTTCTCTGATTTACTGAAGAAACAAAAACCTTACATAATTCTTGGAAAAACAAAATGTATGGTATTTAGAAGTTCCACATCAAGTAACCTTTTTAAAACAAATAAAGCTGTCATTTGCACCATTTTTAAATTCATGTGAGTTATTGTTGACAACAGATTAAAGTAGAAAACTGAAAAAAATATGTCAAAACCAGAATTCCTAAATCAGCAGTCACTGTGCATTTTACTTGTAGTTTCAAATAAACGTTAAGTTATTCTTTTTAACCATGAGGAAGTCAGGAGAGACAGAGAAGTATGTGAGGGTGGTGCAGGACATGTAAGAGGGCAGCGAGACAGCAGTAAGGTGTGCAGTAGGAGTGACAGATGGGTTCAGGGTAAGGGTGGGATTACATTAGGGATCAGCTCTGAGCCCCTTCTTGTTTGCAGTGGTGATGGACAGGATGACAGATGAGGTCAGACAGGAGATACTGTGCACTATGATTATTTAAAAACAGAATACATGTGAATTAGATGGACACAGGTCGAAAGGTGAACATGCAAGTGAAGGTAGTGAAGGTAGATCAGTTTAAATACCTGCGTTCAACCATCAAAACCAATGGACAGTGCACAAGAGAGGTGAAGAAGAGATTGCAGGAGCATGGAGTGGCTGGAGACAAGTGTCAGGGATAATTTGTGACAGAAGGATAGCAACAAGAGTGAAAGAAAAGGTTCAAAAGATGGTAATAAAGATGCTCAGATTTTTGAGTGAACAGGATGGGTAATATTAGAACTGAGTACATCAGAGGGACAGCTCAGGTCGAACGGTTTGGAGAAAGAGTTAGAAAGTCTAGGCTGAGATGGTTTGGAGATGTGCAGAGGAGGGACAGTGGACAGAGGATGTTGCCAGCAAGGAGGAAAAAAGACACAGATGAGGTTCTCGGATGAAGTCAAGGAGGACATGCAGTCTTGGTGTGACATAGGTGGAAGCTAGGAATAAGATGTGATGTCAGTTGGATGATCTGCTGTGGTGACCGCAAAAGGAGAAAAAAGATAAAATTGAAGTTACACTTTTCTAATTCACCCATCTGTCTCCTGCTTACTACTTAATTACATTTCCAAAACCCCATAACATACATACATAACCCCCTCTCCCCTTTTCTCAATTTTATTAACAGGTTTCTTCTACATTATCACCTTTGAGTTTTATCTTGAAATGGCAGTAGTTTACCACTCTGGTTTTGATTAAGTTATTAGGTACAGATATTGTCACTTGTGTCTCACTGTTTGTCCAAATTGTCATATTAATGCTGTCTAAAGTTATTAGATGAGGCTATTTTTCCACTAAATGTCTGTGCTCGTACACAGATTTGTGCATCATGGCACCATCTTGGATTGTGAAGAGGATGACTGGGACTTCACAATGAATGTCAATGTGCGGAGCATGTACCTGATGAGCAAGGCTTTCTTGCCTAAGGTGACTTTTGGCCACTTCACCAAACTCTTAACACCATTTATCCCGTGAATGTAATAGGTGCTACTGATAATAGTGTGACATATGCCTTTAATTTTGTTCTCATCCGTTGTTGGATTAGCTGCATTAACTGTACCACTGTGAACCCATGACATGATGGGTGAGGACTGCTCAGCTACTAATCCTGCTTTAGCTGCAAACTAACCAAACTGCCAAACTGTACCTTTAGCGCAGATCTCGGCACTTTTTATTGCTTTGTTTGTGTAGTTTTAATCTGGATTCAACAAAAACAATTCTGTTAATATGCCATTTGTCATTCTAGATGTTGGCAAAGAAGTCGGGAAACATTATTAACATGGCATCTGTTGCATCAAGCATAAAAGGTAAACGATCTTCCTCAGATCTTTTTTTTTTTATTGCAGTTGCTTGTAGAACTATTCCTACTTAAAGGGACACGATGTCTTTGAAGTTTGGCCAGTCTTTGCAATCCTCTTATCTCAGATAAATGCTTTGCCTGCGTGTGGCTGTGTGTGAGTGACAGATGTGTTTCCTCAACACAGGCGTTGTTAAGCGGTGTGTCTATAGTACCTCCAAGGCTGCAGTGATTGGGCTCACCAAGTCCATAGCTGCGGATTTCATTGAGCAAGGCATTCGCTGTAACTGTGTTTGTCCTGGTAAGGTTAGAACACAGTGCAACAAATCACCATATCACCATGTGTTTTTAGTCTTCCTCAGTGATACTCAAAGTATACTGTAAACGTCCTTGAAATTAAACTAAATTGATGGGGTGTTTTAGCTGAAGGTTGTTTCATGTTAGGGCACACTGGCTTAAGAGCCGGTCTAAAAAGATGCTGTGTATACTTTTATTTTGATTATTTATATACATCACATCCAAGTCCAACCCAATCGTATTTGATACTTATTAATAGAAAAATGTTCATTTAGCCAAAGACCATAATTTCTTAACTAACTCTTGTCTTTTAATAAACATTTCATTAGGCTTGCTCTCTTTCTATTTCTGTAGGGACTGTTGATACTCCATCACTGAGGGGTAGGATCCAGGCTCAGCCCGACCCAGAACAGGTATTGCAGGCTTTGATGTACATTTTCGCCAACCTGACAGTAATGCCTGCGTGATTCATATACTATGTGTCATATGTTATCTTTATTTACACAATGTTAAATAATGATGACTGGATGATGAAGATAATGAATGATCCAATTATAACTCATTTACAGGCTTATAAAGACTTTATGGCAAGACAGAAAACTGGCAGGCTGTGCACAGCCGAAGAGGTTGCACACCTGTGCATATACCTGGCCTCAGATGAGGTGAGTGCTTGCACAGATGTAATTCAGGAGGTATAATAATAGTATGAATAGAGTGTAGGTATCATAGGAATACACATACCTAGAGAAAGCTGTAGATATTTTTGTCAGTAAAGTAATTTACCAGTGGTTTTAAACTGTCTGAGCCCTCCACAGTCAGCCTATGTGACTGGGACAGAGCACATCATCGATGGAGGTTGGAGACTGTGAGGAAACTGGAAGGACTACATCATTACAGAAGTGGAATCCAAACCTTGAATTCAAATAAAGTTGTCATAAATGTATAATTTTTAAAAAATTATTATTATAAAATAAGAAAAAAATATCAGTAATATTACATATTTTATGGAAAAATGTCTTGTTTTGCAACTGAAACCTATGCTGCAAATATATTTGTCATCCTAAATTCAAACTATAAATAATGTACAGAAGTGTGTAATCAACTTTAAACCTTTCCCGCTTTCCATTACTGTGCATTACTCTGTGCATCCTTTCCCGCTTTCCATTACTGTGCATTACTCTGTGCATAATAGTGAAACAAAAGCTATGTGCAAGATGTTAAGCAAACCAGTTTTCCAAGTAACCCAAGTTCTCCATGCACCGTTGTGGACGCTACATACTTGCTTGGCAGTCACTAATCCGCCTCATTCCTCGTGTACCAGCTGGTGCATCTGCTGCAGGCCTACGAGAAAAGCTGCCACTGACAGCCCGCATGCTCTGGTGTTTACGATATGAGGTGAGCGCGTTTTTTCTTCTATAATTAATAGGTCATTTTTGTCAGAGGCGGTCGCTTGCTAGCTATCTGCATAAAAGGTTGGGTGCACTGTCAGCTTTTAGTAGGCGGTACACAGGCATAAGCAGCTACTGGACAGTAGAACATCAAATATCGGACAAGAACCAGCTGTCAGGGTGGTGGAGATTAAACTAGCCCCCATACTTGCTGGTCCAGTTGACTGAAAAGTAAAATCCAGCTTGATTGTATAAACCGAAGTTAGAAAACCTCGGCCGTCAATTTAACGTTTAAAGAAATTAGGGTCGTTGTTTGACTTTAGCAGTAGGACATTGTGCACAGCCTAAACGCTGTAATCCACAGATATTTGCGAAACGCTCCCATATTAAACGAAAAAATAGCTAGTGGCGGAAGGAGCGGTGGTAGCTGGCGATAGTGCACACCCAGGAGTGGGTCATGTCTGATAATGGAACCACAGCTAGTGAAACCAATTGAATGGTATGGCCAAAAGTTTCTTCTGTGCTTTGGCCATACACGTGTTTACAGTGAATGAAACATGGATACACCCCTATATCTCGAAGATTTGCTGGCGATAGTTGACAAACTAGGTTTAGTGATACCAGTGCGAGCGGGTTGTTGCCGTTGACAGCTGCACGTTAACCTACTTGCTTTAGCATCCGCGCTCTGTAACCTACCTACTTGAGCTAACGCTAGCTACTGTGCCATATGGTGTAGCTGTAAGCATTGATTAGCGGGGTTTGCTTACAATTGGATTAACAGGACGTCTGTCGCTCGCTAAAAGCAAGTTTCAAAACATTGTAGTAGCGTCTGTTTGGCGTTCCTGTGTATGTGGTACTTGTAACCACCAAAACACCATATTAATGTTATACACTGTTATACACAAACGTTGACAAGTCACTCACATTTTTATAGTACATACAGCACACAGAACGAGAGACTGGGACTGATGTGGGGGTTACAGCAGCTCTCCACAACAGTCCCATGTGTCCACCTGTGTATTAGTCTGATAGATCGCTGCTTGCACACGTTATAGCTTGTACTATGCAGTATTTGTGAAATGTAATGAAATCCATTTCTTTTAAACACCAAAAAACTCATGTGTTTAGTCTATTATGCGCATGTAGGAGATTTAACCACATCATTTCACATTATGTCAATATTTGTACCAGCACCACTGATACTGTTTGTTTTTTCTTACTGATAAAAAACCTATTGTATGAATGGAAACCTGTGGATAGAGGTGGACATGCCAAAAGAAAAGTAAAAGAACAGCCCACTAATGGCTAACCCCACCCCTCAGCTTGATGTCTTGTGATACAAGAGTGGACCAGAAAGACTGTAGGCAACCGCCATGGAGGACACCCAGCAGAAAGCTGCAAACCCGGACCTGAGTCCTGCACCCAGTCCAGTGCCTAGTCCAGCTCCCAGCCCACTATTGGACAGAATTCCTTTGCCTGTGCCAAACCATGTGGAGGTTTAGTATTTTACTGCTAATAATTTTTTGCACCTGTTGTTCTGTTTAATGATTCTGTGTTGTATATATTGTTCATTAAAATTAATACCGTCGCCTTATTGATGTTTTTTTTTTTTTTTTTAATTTTTCCTCTGAGAAAGAATTGTAAACCAGTTCAAGGAATTCTCCCAACTTTGAGCTAACATAACCCCTTGAACAACTCTGTGAAATTGTTATCAGTTTATAGGGCATATCAAAACCGTTCATTTCGCAAGTGTATGGCAGTCTGTAAACTTAGGATATGGCATGCCTCTGTAAAACTGCTGGTATCCTTCTGACTGAAGATGTGCAAAATAAGACATAGTAAATATAATCCAGAAACACGTACCACTATTTAGCTAGTTATGTTAATGCTGCATTTATGCTTATGTTATTATACTATATGTTATGACGAGTTGTGGAGTTGAGCAGTAAATTCGAATTTGCACACTAATCTGCACATTTCATATTTATTTGTCATCTGTTATGCGCTGTCTTTAGAAATATGCTATGTCATCTAGCAGAACAGTTTGTCCACCCGCAATGTGAACACTGACCTGCTCTACTCCATGTCGTGATCCTTCTTTTAAAGCACCTAAATGTGAACCAGATCCAGGTGGTGGTACGTCGCTGCTCAAGTCCAAATGTAACAGAGGAGACCACTTATTTTATTCCTCGTAACCCCGTAGTGGACGCCGGTACCAACACAGATCCACCAGTGGTCTGTTGTCCTGTGCTGCGAAGATTTTGCCCCTGTCCGCCAAGAGGCTTTCTCGCCTCCCTTATTACCAAAGGTAAAAAAGGAGGCTGATTTGTCCTCCAAAGCACATTTGTTGTATGTTTCCATCCAAGAATGTGTAAAAACTGCAGATCATGAGTATACAGTAGTTATTGAACTACCTGAGAAATGCAGCCCCATAATTCCCTGTTCTCTCTAGTTCTTTTGGCAGTTGTACTCTTTGGAGTGGTTTGGTCAATCACAGAGGACGAATGTCTCCCAGGAGGAAACCTCTTTGGCATTACAATACTCTTCATCTGTGCAGTTGTTGGTGGAAAATTGGTGTCTCTCATTCGTCTGCCCAAACTTCCACCTTTCCCACCACTCCTTGGTAAGACAGAAAATCTGGTGCTTTGACTTTTTATGGTGACACTGGCATGTTAATCTAAGTATTTAGTCCATATATATCTACACAGATTTATCCATCAGAGTGATATATAGTTCTAACTGATATTAGCCATGTTAACTGACATTGGCATTGCTCCATAGTGTAGTGGTGTACAGATTTGCCCAAGAAGTAAAAGATAACAACTTTGAAAACTAGAATCAAACACAAATCCCATTGGGACTGGATCGTGAAGGGCATCCGGTGTTCTTCCTCATGCAGCTAAAAGCTTTTTATCACACTGTTTTTTGTTTCTCTCAAACAATAGGGGTTAACATAAAAGAAAGTGAAACCTCAACCCCAGCCATGGTCCTGGTTTCTTCCTGTTAAAAGGGTTTTTTTTCCCTTCCCACTGTTTCCAAATGCTTGCTCATAGGCGTTTGTCGTTCTTGAGCATTTTGTCTTGTTGGGGTCTTTACCTTAGAATATAAGGACTGTTGTTGTTATTTCAATGTATATAAATAAAATAAAATTGAACTGAAAAAAGATTGTCATTTTAAACATTGGTGCATGCCTAGTTGTTAGATTTGTGATTGTTAAACTTCCATATTTGTAAAGCACATACAGTTTTAATGTTTGGGTTCAGTTATTGATAATGATGGGAGCACTGTGTCATTTATGACATAAAAGTGCATACATGCCATGAGCATTTGCTAACAGGCTGCCTTAATGGATTCTTGATACCTACAAATGGGTATTAACCTTGTTATTTGGGTTTCTTTGTGCATGATAGACATCAGTATTTGTTAAACTGTTTGCAGTTATGTCAGCATGCAGGTAAAGTTTCTAAAAACCGCATTTCCAAGGACACTCATACATGATTATGCAATGCAAGGTGGCAGTATGGCTGTTCCTGTAATAACTTCATGTTCTTATCTCACATGGTGCTCATTCTCAATCTGGGCAACTCATCCTGCAGCTCACTGAACTATACAAAAAGAGGTTTGCTTCACTCTCTGAACTGAGCTCTTGCTGGGGAGTAAGACCTAGTAGTGCTGCAGTGCTGTCTGTATATTTTTATCTAGAAGCTTTTTTGAAAAAAAGTCCTGTGTTAAAGCTTTGTCGTTGTTTGTATGTTGGCAACAGCGAGGTCAACTGATGAGTGATGATCCCTGCTGTGGGTGAGAGGGAAGTCAGGTGACAGTATATATTTCTGCGTGTCTAGAAAAAAACAAAACAATACCAAAAAACCTGAACCTTAAATTGAAAACTGAATACTTCTTATTATACGTAACGTTCTACATCAGGGGTGGAGAACTCCAGGCCTCAAGGGCTGGTGTCCCACAGGTTTTAGATGTGTCCTTCATCCAACACAGCTGATTTAAATGGCTAAATTACCTCCTCAGCATGTCTTGAAGTTCTCCAGAGCCCTGGTAATGAACTAGTCATTGATTTAGGTGTGTTGACCCAGGTTGATATCTAAAACCTGCAGGACTGGTCCTTGAGGCCTGGAGTTCCCCACCTCTGTTCTCCATCATCTAGGACTAAGGTTGAATTTCTTTGAGAAACGTTTAATTTGCATGAGCTTGTCAAGTTACTGTAAGTTTATCCATGTGAAAAGTTAAAAATCATGTTATCCGTTGATGTTCTGGATTTTTTGTGTTTTGCATCTCTTTGTTCTATTTTTACACAGCAAAGATTATTGTGGCACCTTTGGCTTGAAAAGATATGCCAATTGTGCTGCTGGTTTTCAGGGGGTGAAAACGTGCTGATCATCAGAAGTGTTATTTGCACTGTGCATTGTCATGATGTGATGTGACTCTCTCATTTGATCAATTTCCTTGATAAATATCAAGGAAACTGTAACCACTCCTTGTTTAGTTGATAACATTATAGGGAGGGGTAGAAGTTTGCATCTCTAAACATCTCGTTCATGTTTTTTCATTTTCATTTTCACTAAGTCTTCAAAAAGGAGCTTTGCTTAACAGTTAGGTGTTAATTTTTGAGGTTTCTGGTTTGTCTAGTCTTTCAATAAACTACTAACTAGAATGCTGTTGTAAAATTTAGAGGATGGTGCTTAGCTTCCATGGTAGAATATTTGTCTGGCAACCCATTAGAATATGTGCATCATATGTTTTTTCCCCCACTTATTATAGCATAAGACTTTCTCTGTAGATCCGAAATCTAACCTTTCTACTGCTTTTTTAGATAGATAATTAATTAATACTAATGTTGCATTGTTTGACTCGAACAATTATCCGAGTCAAGAAGTTTTAGAACAGGTTGTGGATTGTTGAAACCTCTGGTGTTAGGGTTTCAACATTCACAGTTTGCAGAGTATCTGATTCTAACACCCTGTGTTCAAAAAGCAACCGGTGAGCTTGTGTTTTTTTTTTCTCTGTAGCAACATGAAAGAAAGCTTCAAAGAATAAACAAACCTTCATGGTAATAAGGATCAGCTTTCCTCTTTCTCACCCTCACTTGTGCTTTGCTGCAGGTATGCTGCTCATGGGCTTCCTGCTGAGGAACATTCCAGTTGTTACAGATGGGGTGTACATTGACTTCAAATGGTCTGCATCTCTCAGGAACATTGCTCTGGCTGTCATTCTGGCCAGAGCTGGTCTAGGGTTGGATCCCACGGTATGCTAGATACTATACAAGCTTAACATCGGCATTGAGAGGTAGAAATACAGTAATTATATGTTAATCTCATCTCTTTTCACTTGCCATTGTTATACTGGTGCAAATTCTCACTGATAGCTATGTCATTGGTTGAAGTGGTTAAAGTAGTTAAAAGAAGAGTTAATTAAACCTTCTAAGACCTAAACTCTTTCATGGCATGCATTTTTAATTTCTCTTTGCCATTTGGGCTGATTGGGACCTGATGAACGTAAAAACAAAGAATAACAAGAATTTTTTTTTTCTTTTACCTAATTTTTGTTTCTGAGAAAAATGAGATCCACATATGAGGACATTCGCTTTAAATTTCGATAAAACGGTGGTAGTATAATGTCCTCGTAAGTGGATATCAGGCCCTTGTACAGCAAAATTTAGTATTTTGGTCTAGAGAACCCAAAATGTGATGTCCACATATGTGGATGCCAGGTCCTCGGAGGTTAAGAAATGACAGGAAGAATCTGTTCATGTTTTAGTCAGTTATTTACCTCATCATTCGGTACTACTAAATATGCTTGTTAAAGCTTTTTGTAGTGATGTGCAGAACTTAATAACTTGTTTGATGTGTGTGTCTGTTATCAGGCTCTCAGGAAACTAAAAGCTGTGTGTATACGTGTGGCAGCTGGGCCGTGCTCGATAGAGGCTTGCACCGTAGCTGTGATCTCTCACTTCCTCATGGGCTTGCCCTGGGTGTGGGGCTTCATCCTTGGGTAAATACAACACTACTCTCACTTGCTGTGTACCCAGCTCTTATTTTTCAACTTCATAACCAAAATCACCATTGATTGATGTCTATGGCAAATCTATACACATACTTTAAAATGACTGTTTCATTCGTGATCCCCAGATGTGTCACAAACACAAAATTTGTATTTGGTGACTCGCTGGGTGAAATCGGTCGCAAAGAAGGTGCTGCCCCAGAAATTGCTGTGATTGCTAGCAGATTGGCATGGCTACCTGTAACTGGCATGAAAGATGTTGACATTGCTGCAAACTACTTGCCAAGTGGTAGTGAAACATTAAAAAAAGCCTGAAACAAACCAGAAAGGGAGGATGATTGTCCATTGCTACTGAGACCAACACATTTCAAAAGGCACAACTTTTAAATCTTCTTAGTCAGGGAATAGACATTTTAATCCCAGCGACTGGTAGCTGCTAGGAAGTCCTTGATTGGTCTCAAGGCCTGTGTGACTACTGCCCAATGCAACCAGACTTTGTCCTGTTTTTGTCTGGATTTTACCTGCAACTTAACTTTGTGTTATATTCATATTTGGATTATATGACCACTTAGCTCTCTGGGTCCATGAGACATTAGAGAGCTGAGTGAAGGTCAAATCTTACTTTGTGATAAATTAAACCTAACACTGCAAAAAAAAACCAAAACAAAACACTGCAGCTATAAGGAACATGTTTACATGAAGAACAGCACAAAAACTGAAATTTAAATAAGATGCATATCTGCTTCATCAGCATTGAGGGTATTAAGTGGAGCATTAGTATTTGTAAAAAAACAAGAAGCTCTGGTTTTACATCTAGATAGCTTGTTCTTCTTGTGTTGCATGTTGTGGTTAATGGATGACTTAGTAGAAAGAAGGCCCTGTTAGCTGTTCATAACCACAGAAATCTTTTTCTACTAATTCCACTTTACATTAGTCAGCTCAAACTTTTCCTTTTGCTTCTACCCAAATGGTAAGACGTCATAATAAACATTGTTAAATGGTAAATGTATAGCTAAATAAATGTTAGGCAATATGTTTCTCAATTGAACAGTAACACAATTACTATAAAAGTAAAGTAATGTCTGATTATCATGATCAAATATTATATTATATAACACGTTTAGTATCATCGTGGGGTTTAAATGCATTTTATGAGCATTGATACAAGAACAGAATATGTTTCTTAAAATAAATAATTATTACACAAACTAATGACATACAGGCAAGTTTTAAATTGTTAATGATTAGCAGACAAAAAACAATCTATTATAATGTCATCTTCTTCACAATACAATAACTATTTGTTTGCTTAAAAACTGATTTACCATTTATTAACTATGATATAATAAATTCTTACCAAATGTTTGTAAAGCTTGCCCAGGAGTTTTTCATTTATCAGTGAATGAATGAACCCTCTATCTTCTCCACGTTGCAGCTTCGTGCTAGGAGCTGTGTCTCCAGCAGTGGTGGTTCCCTCCATGCTCCTGCTGCAGAAGGACGGTTACGGTGTAGAGAAGGGCATCCCCACCCTGCTGATGGCTGCAGGCAGCTTTGATGACATTCTTGCGATCACAGGATTCACAACATGCTTGGGCATGGCCTTTGCCACAGGTAATCTCTGCTCTGTGCGTTTACATGTGTGGAGGCGTGAGAGGAAAACAAGAATTGATGGATTTATCGCTTTGTTTTGCCTTTGACACACAACAGCACCTTATCTCCCGAAGAGAAACGCATAGAAGAAAATAACTTTTTGCTGTAGTTTGTAAAGATGTCACCAGAGGGTGTGAGCGTGCTGATTACTCTTAATACAGAGTTCTGGCACCAGTTCATTATATATGGCAGAATCTGAATTTTTTTAAAGGGTTACCTTTGTATTGCTGCAACACTCTTTCTATTGTGGTGTAATTCAACAGCACTCAAACTGTAGATGCCAAAATGTCCAACATGTTAAGCCTTCCTTACACTAAATAAAGTGTAAGAAAGTGTAAAGTATATACTTTGAGTGTTTGCTGGCTTCTGTATTAAGCTGCATTAGTTAGAGAGACTTGTTTCTGAACTGGCAAATTAAAATATTTTAGAAATTCACAATTTCACAAATGTTTGTTTTGATTGATTCTTCTAGGTTCAACTTGGTACAACCTCCTCAGGGGGGTGCTGGAGGTGGCAGGAGGGATGGTTGCTGGGATTCTTCTTGGTTTTCTCATCCAGTACTTCCCTAGTGTTGACCAGGTAAAGTAACAGCCAGGAAAAGCTTGTATGGATAATTCACTAGCAGGGACCACTCCCTTGGTAACAATGAGCAATGAGGGATGAGGGAGTGTGATTAGTGCTGCGGTTTGGGGAAGGCCTTGAAGGGGACTGGCGACGGCTCTCTGTACTAACGAGAAATAAAGGGAGGAAAGGAAGAGAGGAGAGGACAGGAGAAGAGAGTAAAGAAAAAAGGGGGGACAGGGTGGAGCATGAAAATGAGAACAGCGGGTATTGGAGAAGGGGGGCTTTTATAGCCTGAGGCCAGAGGGGGCATGAAGGAGGAGTGGTCCCGCTCCTGAAATTCAGATGATATCTCCACAAAAGTATAACCCTTTTTCCATAAAAAAGTTTGGGGTAGTGTGTGAATAGGAAACATAATAAGAATAAAACTGCAGATTTTAACCCTGTTAGCTGAAAAAGTGAACTGAAAAAGTATCAGATGTGAAAGGTTTTATTTTTAATGTGCTCATTTTGCCCTTTTTACATCAGAATGTGCCACATGTTTTTACTGGGGACATATTTGGACTAAGCAGGCCAGTTTAGCCCAAGGACTCTTACTGTCATCTCAATGGCAGCATGTGTTGTTTAAAAACCTCGATACTATATAGCTTTAGATTACATATTGGATTTATTTCTTCATCAAAAGTGAAAGTGCTGTGAACCAACACGTCCTAGCTTCTTTGCAAATGATTTCTTATAGACCTTAGAGCTATTATTTGTTAAATAATGCATATTGTAATCCTTTTCGCTATCTAGAAACCTACTGTTAATGTTAACTATTTCTTCTAGAAACACTTGGTGATGAAGCGTTCCTTCTTGGTGCTGGGTCTGTCTGTTTTTGCTGTGTTTGGCAGCGGTGTGGCAGGCTTTCCTGGCTCCGGAGGCCTGTGCACCTTGGTGCTGGCATTCCTGGCTGGCGTCGGCTGGGGAACAGAAAAGGTAAAAATAATGCATCTAATAACTACAGTACATCAGTACGTCTGTTTGCAGATTTCTGACTTTGGAGGTGAATTTGAACGAGGCTAACTGTCCAAAATCTTAGACCTAATTTCTCTTAAACTACTTGGTTGTTATATATTATAATTAAATGTGAACAGTGAACATGTCCTGCATTCTTTGTCCTTAGGCACGTGTGGAAGAAGTGATAGGGTGGGCGTGGGATGTGTTTCAGCCTCTTCTCTTTGGACTGATAGGAGCTGAGATTCGAGTCTCTGAGTTGGAGGGACACACAGTTGGTGAGATAAACAGACACACACACACAAACAGCCTTCAAAATAACCCACAGCAAGATGGCTGTTATCACTGTGAAAAATTCAAATATTACTCTGTGTATGAAAATATATTTGCATAACCCAAAAAAAGAGGCAATGTGAGAGATATGATGCTTCTTCCCGTCCTGTAAATACTAATCCCTCTGTCTTTGTTAGCACTTTACAGCTATAGCAGTTTACTAAATAACTTATGACATGTTTGTTTTGCATGAGTCAGTGCAGCTGAAATGACACTGCACATAATTTTCTTGCAGTAATTTTTTTTTGGGGGGGAGGGGGGGGGATTTATATGGTGTACATATAATATTGTTGTCCTTGTATGACTTTTGCCTCTACGTGTCTCTAGGTCTGGGTATAGTCTCTCTCCTCATTGGTCTGCTGGTTAGAGTGGGGTTCACCTTCGTCTGTGTGTTGTTTGCGGGCTTTAGCATAAAGGAAAAAGTGTTCATAGCCCTAGCATGGATGCCTAAAGCAACAGTGCAGGTATGTCTCCTTAGCAAACCTTTGAATGAAAAGCATATGCATTAAATGTCTTTGAAGTCTGTGGGGTTGTGCCGCATCTTGGCTTGTCTCTGTCAGGCAGCTATAGGATCCACAGCTTTGGACATGGCGAGGACAAAGGATGACAAGCAGCTGCAGAAATACGGCATGGACGTGCTGACTGTGGCTGTGCTCGGCATCCTTCTCACAGCCCCTGTAGGCGCACTTATCATAGGGCTGTGTGGCCCTCGCCTGCTGCAAAAGCCAGAGAACACAGTCAGCGGTGAGCGAGTCAAACCCAGTTTATCAGCTTTCTTCCTAGGTATGTAAAGTCTTTCTTTTGAAAATTCAAGCTCGGCTCAGCAACCTTTGCTAACCTAACTAGGTGTGTTTGAGTAGTGAGTATCCTTTCCTTTTCTAATATTTTTCCTGCTACACCCTTATGACATAAAGATTTGCATAGCTTGGGCCACTGTGTCATTCAGCAGCTTCACGATTTTTTACAGGCACACAACAGTGGTATTGTGTTCATGTAAATACATTTATTCACAGTGCAAAAAGTGCAGCTAGTTTCATTTTTTTAAATCTTTCATTTTCTCAGTCTTATTATTTTTTTCCTCCCTGTCTCTTCTTCCTCTTTCTTAGGCACTGCAACAGGAGATCAAGATGACAATGAAACTCCCGTCACCTATGAAAGTACACTCTGATGTCAAGTGTGAGAGAGGAGAATTAAAGAAACTCCTCACACCTCAGATATTTGAACTTCTCTTTGGCCACCGAGTGGCCCTCGCTGTGTCTGTTGTTCAGCTCTCTGTGTTCGCAGTCCTGCAGGAACACGTGAATCATTTTGTATTTATAGCATCTGGTGATTTCCAGGCCTAACACTGCAAACAAATGACCCACATTGCACTGTCTGGAAAAAAAATCATATTGTTTTCAAGGTATAGAAATGGTTTATACTTTTAAAAGGATCTTGTCATATTCACTAAATCCAGAATTTTTCCACTGTTCTTGATTGGATTACCAGTAAGAAAGCACTTTACTTTGACTTGAAAGGTCAAAGTAAAGCAGTTTTCTTCATGGGGGACAGAGAACGTTTTGGGATGTTGTTGATAAGCAATTTTTATTGCTATGAGTAGACTACACTGTAAAACCACATGCAAGTTTTAGGCATCCTACATCTTCATGCTGTGTTTGTTTACTTTGATTTGTGTATGCATATTAGCCCTCTGTCAGTATGGTGAGATCAGTTGCGTAGTTTGCAAAGAGTCAGGGAAGGATTTGTGTAATTGATAATATTTTAGTTTAAGTAC